CGTCAATTATATTCCAGAATAGTCAATTCCATTTCAGAAAGCGTCAATTGTATTTCAGAATAGTCACTCGTATTTCAGAAAGTATCAATTGTGAGGCATCATGGTCAATTGAATCTCAGACGTCGTCAATTATATTTCAAAATAGTCAATTCAATTCCAGAAACTATCAATTGTATTTTATAATAGTCAATTGAATTTGAGAAGTTGTCAATAATTATATTTCGAAATACCTAGTCAAATCAATTCCAGAACGCGTCAATTGTATTCCAGAATTTTCACTCATATTTCAGAAAGTATCAATTATAATATTCAATTGAATTTCAGAAGTCGTCAAAAATATATTTCAGAATTGTAGAATCGATTTCTGAATGCGTCAATTGTATTTCAGAAGAGTCACTGTTGTTCCAGAAAGTAGAGTAGTTTATTCGACCATGTTATATACATACAAATACATCTATGGCAAGTCACAATTGAGACCATGTTTCCGAAGAACAATATTAAATATTGAAGAAGTAAAATACTAAGTAACTATGCAAATAATAATATTCCAGAATAGTCAATTCCATATCAGAAAGCGACAATTGTATCCCAGAATAGTCACTTGTTTTCCAGAAAGAATCAATTATATCTCATAATTGTCAAGGGAATTCCAGAAGTCGTCAGTTATATTCCAGAATAGTCAATTCAATTTCAGAAAGCGTCCATTGTATTTGAGAATGGTCAGTTGTTTTTCAGGAAGTATCAATTGTATTTCATGATAGTCAATTGAATTTCAGAAGTCGTCAGTTATATTTCAGATTGGTCATTTCAATTCCAGAAAGTTTCAATTGCATTCCAGAATAGTTACTTGTTTTTCAGAAAGTATTTAATTATATTTCATAATAGTCAATGAAATTTCAGATGTCGTCAATTATATTCCAGAATAGTCAATTCCATTTCAGAAAGCGTCAATTGTATTCCAGATTAGTCACTTGTGTTTCAGAAAGTATCAATTTCATGATGTTCAATTGGATTTCAGAAGTCGTCAATCATATTCCAGAATTGTCAAGTCCATTTCAGAAAGCGTCAATTATATTCCAGAATAGTCACTCGTATTGAAGAAAGTATCAATTGTATCTCATGATAGTCAATTGGATTTCAGAAGTCGTCGATTATATTTCAGAATAGTCAATTCAATTTCAGAGAGCGTCAATTGTATTCCAAAATAGTCACTTGTTATTCAGAAAATATAAATTTTTTTTCATGATAGTCAATTGAATTTCAGAAGTCGTCAATTATATTCCAGAATAGTCAATTCCATTTCAGAAAGCGTCAATTGTATTTCAGAATAGTCACTCGTATTTCAGAAAGTATCAATTGTGAGGCATCATGGTCAATTGAATCTCAGACGTCGTCAATTATATTTCAAAATAGTCAATTCAATTCCAGAAACTATCAATTGTATTTTATAATAGTCAATTGAATTTGAGAAGTTGTCAATAATTATATTTCGAAATACCTAGTCAAATCAATTCCAGAACGCGTCAATTGTATTCCAGAATTTTCACTCATATTTCAGAAAGTATCAATTATAATATTCAATTGAATTTCAGAAGTCGTCAAAAATATATTTCAGAATTGTAGAATCGATTTCTGAATGCGTCAATTGTATTTCAGAAGAGTCACTGTTGTTCCAGAAAGTAGAGTAGTTTATTCGACCATGTTATATACATACAAATACATCTATGGCAAGTCACAATTGAGACCATGTTTCCGAAGAACAATATTAAATATTGAAGAAGTAAAATACTAAGTAACTATGCAAATAAAGAAAAATAATTAATATCATAAAAGTTGAAAGGTAAGATTTGTGAGGATACATTAATTCTAGAGTACAGAACAGACAGATTAAAATTCATATCAGATTCTTGAAAAGTATGGTGAAAAAATAATAAAAATATGCATGGCAAAAAAAATGATTAGAGCTTTAGTGAGTTAGACGATATCATGTAACTGTCAATATCATAAAAACAGTTATTCAGGAGAAACTTCTTTATCATAGATTTGAATTGTTTGAACTCCAATACCCTGACAGATGAGTGAAGAGTATTGTATAAATTAATATTCAGAGAGTTTTTGCAGCTAACAGTTAATCTATGACGTGGAATAATCAGTGAATCAGCTGATCTTTTATTGTATCTGTGGAAAAGTATCGATTATATCTCATAATATTCTATTGAATTGCAGAAGTCGTCAATTATATCTTGGAATTGTCAAATGAATTTCAGAAAGCGTCAATTTTATTTCAGAATAGTCACTTGTATTTCAGAAAGTATCAATTGTATTTTATAATAGTTAATTGAATTTCAGAAGTCGTCAATTATATTTCAGAATAATCAATACAACTCCAGAAAGTGTAAATTGTTTTTCAAGATAGTCAATTCAATTTCAGATAGTGTCAATTGAATTCCAAAATAGTCACTTGTATTCTAGAAAGTATGAATTATAATTCATAATAGTCAATTGGATTTCAGGAGTCGCCAATTATATTTCAGAATGAATTCAATTCAATATCATTTTAATTTGATCCCCATATTTTTTCCATTGGTATTATTCGGTAGTAAACGTCGAGCTCTCTTAGGGTTTGAAATATTTGTATTCATTTCGATGACACTCTGTATACTGTCTGTAGATTAATCGAGGAGGTAGTACATCCATTTTACTTGAATCTTTGGAATTTTCTCTACTTAATCAGATGATTTGCCCCAAAATGTCACTGCGTTTAACAAACTTTCTATCAGGGAGTCTAAACGAAAAATCCAGTAGCTTGTCAGTGACAATTTGTTCGAAAAAATTCTTGAAAGAAATATAGATATATTGAAGAAATATCGAAATCTCACTTATCTTTCGACTTTTCGTCGAGGAGAGAAAATCCCAAAGAATCAAGTAAAATGAATAAACACCCTGAGTATTGAAAAATATTAAATTCCACTCATATATGGATGTTTCGAAAATGACTGCGTATGTTACAGATTCTGATTGCTCTTAAATTTACCGTCTTCATACTGAGATCATTGAATAAATACCATGTTCTATCTACAAGGAGATTTATAAGGAATATGAAATCTTCGTACTACTACAGATAGTTGACACGAGAATATGAAAACTCAGAATTAACATGACTGTTGAGAATTTTGCTGATTGTGGAAATACAAGGCGTTCAAGGAGAAGTTCATTTTGTCAATTTCCTCAATAACTTCGTGAGATTTGACAGCATAAACATTGGATTTTGTAGTTCCAGATTATTTTCTGACATGGGAAATACGAATTTGTTACTCATTTTGTAAAATGCTCTCAGAGGGTGCTATTGGCATTCTGTTATTTCAGTTCAATTACATCATTATTTTTTTTTCCCATTGAGTGATGATTATAACAAGTCGAAGATCAGAACCCAGATAGCACAAATACCTTTTGAGGCCCTTCTGAGGCGTTCACAATAATGTCCTCAGGACGTCGTGGGCGAGCCTGACGACGTCCCTAGCCCGTCCTCCTGTTATCGTCCTCTACATCCTAATAACGTCTTAAAACATCCCTAAAAGGTCTTCTGGGACATGAATAGGACGTTATGGGAACATCTTTAGGTAGTATTCAGAGATGTATCAAGGAAAAGGTTGATAAAAATGAAATTTCATTGAAAAAAAAAGGATATCATGATATTTGCGAAACCTCCATGGAATAATAATAGGTTCAAATCAAAAAGTTACATTCTATTACTTATAACTTATTGGTGAACATTTTCGAGTTTCGTTTTGATGAAATGTATCTCAGCTTAGCTTAGAAAAATGGAAGCCAAAAGTGACAATTTCTATTGAAGAAGGTTTGGAGAAGAGAAATAAAGGTATATAGAGAAAATATCAAATTTCTGATTATCTTTGGAGGTTTCTAGAACGTATCTGCTCTTGTTTTCAACATGAATAATTGATTTTTTCTGTGACTGGAAACGAGTTTGGCATTTCATCTCTGTTGGCGGGTTATGAAATGTCACTCTTCATAAATTACTTTTTTCCCGTGAGAAAAAAGTGAGTACTCTTTTCCCGGGTATATATCAGATATATATACGGTGTCGATGGCTTTTGTTGTGCTATAGTTCAGAAAAATTCGACAATAATACCGTCTCCGAGAAAGAACTGCAAGTCCTTTTATCTTCCATTCGACTTCGCGGTTACGTACCTATATTACTGAACAACCACTAAATTCGCAATTTCTCCAAATCAAATCACAGAATTAGACTGACAGAAGTGACATCAAATATTTGATTTCTTCAAAAGAATGTTAACATGCCTACAACGCAGGTGTCCCTACTGTTAAATACTTAAAATTTCACGTCGATAATTTTCAGATTTCAAAATAATGTGATAGCTTCTCAATATTGATTCGTCCTTTTCTCTGTCACAGAAAAAAATAGTGCATTATACACGGGAAAAATATTAGATTTAAGCTCACGGTTTTTTGTCTCTCTCCGCTACGCGTCGTGAGACAACACAATCTGGAGCTAAAATCTACTACTTTTTTCCCTTGTATAATAAATAACTATTTTTGTATGGCAAATTATTTCTCTTCTCCAAACCTTTTTCAATACAAATTGTCACTGACAAGCTGGTGAATTCTTCTTTTACGCTTTCTGATAGGAAAATCCTTCAAACGCAGTGACATTTTGGAACCAATCATCTGATTCGTCCGAACTACACGTATATTGAAATGATATCAATTCTTTCTATTTCATAGAGAAGGAGAGAGAAAATCTCAAATAAAATTTGGAATAATAAGTGGAACATATATTCATTTTTGACCACTATCGATACAATTCTGCAGATAGGTAATAAATATCAGACTTCTTTCTGTTTATCCGAGAGAGAGTATATTTTTTACTCAACTCCTTTTTTGATTTATCATTCGAACAATCTGATTTTGACGCACTAGTTCTCCACCCTGTATGGTTTGATTGTTCGTCTAGCTAAAACATGGATGAAAATAGTGACGTCAATTCGCCAACTCAAAGGAAAGCATCAAGAGAAAAGGAAAAGGATGTCGAGAAAGAGATATTCAAGCCGAAGAGAAAATACCCAGGATTCCGAAAAAATCTCCACGATTATTTCCATGAATTCAGCGATTACACCGGTATCCATGGATTCAAATATATGGGTGAACGAAATAGAACAATGTGTGAAAGGTATCTATTACAATTGGTTACTATATTTAGATTTTTTTTTATCTCTTGGAGCGCACGAAAGAGAACACCTATAATGTTCGGAGAACATCGTGCGTACCTAGGCAGGATAAGGAGAGGAGGTAGGTATTGAATTTTTTCCATAATAAGAATAAGATTACAGTTTCTGAGAATACTTGGCAAATAATTCCAAAGCTCTTCCGTTTTAGCTTCATTAAAAGAACATCCAGAAAGATTTACTTTCACCAAAATGTGGTGACCAAATGTAAAGTTGCAATCGAAGTGAATGCCAAGATTCGAGTTGTAATTTACGTTCAGATGAATACAAGCGGATTGTTCAGTCCCGCCAATAATGTGTAACGTATTTTACACCCACTTCACGCTGACAAAAACATTGACACAACGTACATAAACCCCAGATAACATTATCAGTTTTATTGTTAGCTACAGGAGGTTGTTACAGCCTATTTCAAAATGCCTCTCCAAAACTATTATATTTCAATAATATCATTGAAGCAATAAGACAACCATTTCAAAACATGAAGGGCCCACCTTTATAAAAGTTGTCACAGTTTCTCTTGAAGCTTGTCATAGAACCAAAAGGCTTCTATTGTAGTATACCTCAAATCAATAATAAAACCTATCAAGACAGCTTCGTTTAATGCCTTTTAGCACGAGTTCAAACCTATATGCTTCAAAGCGACATTTCTTATGCCAACATTGAAACACATATTGGCTAGACTCAAGACCTTATCAGTCTCAGTAGGCATTTGTTGAGATAATATAGTCCGTAACGTGTTATATGTGAGTCTTTTTTCAGAACAAATCAAAATACGAACATGTCAAAATGAAGTGAAAACAATGAATAGTTATAAGAGAGAGTGAACATGGCGGTATGATATGATGATTCCCTACTGTATAAAATAGTCTCCTCTGTGAAGATTGATGCTGTTACCTGAAAACGACTGAAAACGATGACGACTTTTTTGACGACCCCATACCAGATATGCTTCAAAAAAAAAGCAGCGCCCCAAAAATAATATATTTTAAGCAGTTAGAGTTGGATGTGAATTCAAATGAATTTTCAAAGAAGTTGACGAAACTATATGAATGTTTGCTGAATATGGGTTATTCGTTTGAAAAATGTCGATAAACATCATTGTCGACGGCGATATCAGTGAATCTTCTTTATTTTCTGCTTGACATTTTCATTTCCATCAATGGCCGATAGCTGTTTGTGATAAATATGGCGCAAAATATACTTGAGACCAATTTTGCTCAATGCTTAATCAAAAGCTTCAGGAATTGATAAGGCATTTTATGAGACTATTTCTTCCTGTTGAAGTACTTATTGCATATTTGAATCTATTCTTATGACTATTTGTTCCTGGGTATGGAAACAAAGCTTCGAGAATGATAGAATTATTATAAGAAATATATAAGATAATGCCTACATAAAACTATGAAGCTTTCAGAATATCCTGGCTAGTGCTCATTCGGCAGTGTGGCAAAAAGTAGAAGAACGTCATCAAAATGATCAACATTACTCAACTTTTGTTATTTACAGTGTTTAGTTTGTGAATTTTGTGATTGGTTTCATGTAGGAAACCGAATAGGAGATATATAGACAAACTACACTCAGTGCAGTTCGCCTGATATTGTGTTGAATGTTCCATTCTCTTGAATTCTTGCATGACTCGCTATCTGACATAACTTGTGCAAAACTGTTGTCATCTCCCTGGCTTCCTAGTTCTCATTGAGATATATCAGAAGTATTTTCCATTATATACGTTCTGACTCGTTGATGGTACTTCATGAATATCAGGTCCTAATGCATTCTTGCTATTTGGTGGTTTCAGTTGGGATGAATTGAAAGAGGCTGTGTTTGGAATTGCTTGAGCTCGAGAATTCCGATTTACTGTTGCTCTCACGACTTGATTTTTGATCCTTAGGTAATTTCCTCTATTCTTTCGCTTGAAGTTGCCATTTCTCCTAATTTTACATCATTTATTTCCTTGTGAGTTCATTTCAACTTCAGTCGTTGAAGGCAAAAAAGTACGAACATTTATATTATGGGATTTGGGTTCAACACAGTTCTAAACAAAACTTGATAAATCCTATAGATTGACTTCGATGAATTCATTGTGGCTTATTGGTTTTGATTATTACTTTCTCATAGCTGGAATGATGTCCTTAGGTTTCATTATTGCCTCAGTCAAATCCTAATTGGCCTAGCGTAAATTTGGTTTTATGTTTGCTTTATGGGGTATTCTCATAGAATTAGTTCAAAACCTCTTGATCAAATTCGAGACACTAATGAAACTTGAGTTTTTCACGAGGGTTGTTAAGAGTTAATAGTCTTGATAAGGAATTTCAATGACTATTACAGAGCTCTCTTAAAACCGGAGTGAGCTGAATGCCAAATTGTTTTATGCGATAGTTCTATCATAGTACCTCAAAACCTTTTAATAGGATCATATGGACATGAAGGCTAATTTGCTTTTTCCAGGGAATTCATGAAACGGTAGAACAAATTATACCATCAGATCATTTGCGCTCACATAACCTCTTTAAAGTCTAATCGAAGCTATTAGGCATTTGAAATGTTACTTGGAAAATCTACATAGCAATCGATATTATGTCTTTCTTCAGGATATGGTGGATGATTCTCTTCTGCATATCCCTATACGCCTGCGTCGATCTTATCATCAAAACCTGGGTCAAGTGGGACACCTCTCCTGTGCTGGTCAGCTTCGCCAGAAGCCCCACGCCCGTATGGCAGGTGCCGTTTCCCGCCATCACCATTTGTTCTGAAACAAAGGCGAGACAGAGGGTTTACAATTTCACAGACGCCTATGATCGAGTCGTGCACGGGGCGAATATGACAGACGAAGAGTGAGTAAAGTAGTAGTTATGAAGCAGTGAACAACTGATATTGAGTGGCGTACCTAGATCTATACCTTTTCAACTTCAATTTCGGAATCGGTAAGGTATATTTCGGAAGAAGTAATCTTGATTTCAGAATTGGTTAGTTCGATTTCATAAATGGTAAGCTCAATTTCAGAATCGGTGAGATGAATTTCAGAAAAAGTCTATTCAATTCCAGAAATGGTAAGTTGTATTTCAGAATTGGTAGGTTCAATATCATAAAAAAAATCCTTACATTTGTTCGAAATGTTTCCAATTGCATGTGAGATCAACAAACCATATTTAAAATATTCAACTTTTCAAAAACAATTTAATCCACAGATGCCTTCTATCTGAATCGCTGGAAGATAGTGGCGTTGCACATGATGATTATAAGAATGCAAACACATTCGAGGTGTTATCATGTTCATTGAATGATCTGCACATTCTTCAAGACATCGCAGTCTGAATTCTATCTGGTTGAGCAATCTGTTCGGATCTCCAGCTATGACCCTTTGGCGATGCTCTTGCAAGAAGCTTTTCACTTCTGACTTGAATATATGTTCAATCTGATTCAACATAGGGCTCTCAAACACCGTTCCATCCACTGTAAACAATCTCCTCTTTTGCAATTAAAAATGATTCAAACATATAAAAGGATTTCATCTTCTGAAATTGAACCTATACCAATAATAATTCTGAAATACAACTTACCATTTCTGAAATTGAATGGACTTTTTCTGAAATTCATCTCACCGATTCTGACATTGAGTTTACCATTTCTGAAATCGAACTAACCAATTCTGAAATCGAGATTACTTTTTCCGAAATACAACTCACCGATTCTGAAATTGAAGTTGAAAAGATATAGTGTTTTTTTTATTACACTATTCAACAGATACAAGATCCAATTACAGAATGGGAATATACTGAGTGTATTACTAAAATTATTTTCTCAATACATAAAATTACACTTTGGAAAAAAACAGAACAGTCCAGTTTTTTAAGGATGCCAAACTGCAGCAAAAGATGTCAAATGGTTTCATTCCTCGCGTATTATATATATCGAACACATCTTGTAAACAGATGCATGGAATTTAACATTAGTGCGACAAAGTGGAAGGTAGAAACTATCATTTCTCCGGGTTGTGAGTCTGGGAACATGAAAGTGTATCATCTCCAAAATGCAGCTGCAGTCCAAATTGTTCCGGATAACATTGAAAAGGAATATAACATGCGACCTATTTCGACGATCTTTCTCGTCAATGTTCAATGATTTTTCCTACGAGCTTGTACAAAGCAGCACTTTTTCTGCACCATCCTAACCTTTCCTATTAGGCTGTTATTTCATTTGATTTGAGGAGCTGTCGCAAGTATATATCCCTCGTAATGTCCATTTTTATTTCAACCGTAATTCTCGATATTTGAATTTCACCATGAAACACCTTGTTTTTCAAATAACATTAGAAGTGGCTTAAAAATAACTCTCAACAGACATGAGAAGTGAACTTTCACGGCATTGGCAAAAAAATTTCACTTTTGATCTGCCCAGCCGCAGAATTATTATCGATAATTTTTTTCATGTTTACTAATGTTCATCAGGCACTGAATCTCCAGGAACATTGAACCATTCATTCTTTTCCAACCAAAACATTTGATATTACATGTCTACATAGTTTCAAATTAATTTGAGTGACTCTTGCCAATCACTTATTGATTCCATCAACTTGATAGGAACTTTCAGAATAATGGGCGTAGTAGAACTTCTAACTCCAACCATGTTTATAATGATCCTTTTCCACATAAATATTGATTGACGACATAATGCGATCGAAAAATTAACTGAAATGTTTAATTTTTGGACATAAATAATAGTACCTCCTGAAAACGGACCCTCTTATGACGTAGAAACCTCATCTCGCCATAGTTTGAAGAAAATACCAAACGCCCGACGGAGACTGAGGCAACCCAAGTAGCACACATATATTGGGACAATATCGGTGCAATATTACGAAAATATCGGCAAAATATTGTGAAAGTAATATTGGCGAGAAAAAAAATGTGAACATTCGGCGATATTGGTACAATATCAGATTCCAAATGTGGGTAGAATATTCTCATATCAATATTGGTTGAATATTCGTAGAGTAATATCGGACACAAAATGTAATATCAATATTGGCGAGAAATTGATGGTGAACATTCGGCAATATTGGTGTAATATATGGAAATATCGGTGAATCATTGGAAATCATCATGAAGGTATGTTGTCTCAGAAATATTGGTAGAATATTCTCATACCAATATTGCTGGTATATTCGTGAAGTTATATTGGTCACGAAATGTGATATCAATATACTGGTGGTACTATTGGTACATTATTGGAAATCATTATGTAGCTATGTTGTCTTCAAAATATTGGTGGAATATTTTCATACCAATATTTGCGAGTTATTCGCATCAGGAATAATCACAAAGGTCAGCCCAGCCGGAGTGCAATGGGAGGGCCTTGCCCTAGGGAAGCCGCCTTGTTGATCACGGTTAACCCCTACTCCAGGTTATAATACTTTACAATCGTCTAGAGCCAATATTTAAATTCTCTCGTCGGATCGGCAATGAGAGTACGTTATCAATCATTTATAGCGCCATCTATCGACATCGGTTTGGGAGTGCGTAATATGGAATAAATATCGAAATTTTGATATCGATATGTATTCTCAGAACAATATTTTTTTTTTTTTTATCGCTTGGAGCGCACGAAAGGGAATCCCTATAATGTTCAAAGAACATCGTGCGTTCCTAGGGAGGATAGGGACAAGAGGTAGGTATTGGAATTTTTTTTGAATTTTTGGAGATTATATGTTGTTGGGAATACTTCCACAGGCAATGAATTCCACAGCCTACCCGTTCTATGGATGAAGGAGTCTTGATAAAGTGCTGTTCGACATCTTTCGAGGTTGACAACGAAAGGATGTGCTGACTGGGCTTGTCTTGTTCGTCTGATTGGTATTGCTAGTGGAGGGATGATAGCAGAGATTTCCGAAGAACATTTCCCGTGGAAGTTCCACGGTGTTCCAATGATGTCAAAGAGTGAGTGAGTGTGGCGTCACCCACCAGGCGAATGGCTCTTCTCTGGATGGAATCTAAGAGCATCAGCGTATGTTTTGGTTCTGAACCCCATATGTGGGAACAGTATTCTAGTACAGGCCGTATCTGCGCTTTGTAGATCATGAGAAGCTGTTGAGGTGTAAAGTAGCTTTTCGCACGGAACAAGAATCCAAGTTTTTGTGAAGCAGCTTTTGCGATGGATCTGACATGATTATCCCATGAAAGAGTGTTGCTGATGGAAATACCGAGCATAGATATGGTGGGCTTGGTGGGGATGGTGGAGCCAGACATTACAATATCGGGCATACTGAGTTCCGCCTTTCTAGAGAAAATGCAGGCTTGAGTTTTGGTGGCGTTGAATTCAACTAGGTTGTTTGTTCCCCAGGCTGTGATTTCAGCAAGATCTCCATTGACAGCATTGACCTGCCTGCGCCGTGAGTTCTTAGTTTCCTGGGAAGAAATGGGAATTCTGGAAGAGAACGCAGTATGGAGGGTACTATCATCTGCAAAGCTGTGGATGGGGCAAGTTGTTACTCTCAACAGATCATTGATATGAAGCAGGAATAATGTTGGTGCCAAAATTGATCCTTGTGGAACGCCGGAATTGATGCCAATGGTATCAGACGATACACCGTCCACCACCACGTGAAGCGATCTGCCTGAAAGAAAACTCGATAAGAGATGGCATAGCTGAGGTGGTAAGCCGTATGATGGTAGTTTGTGGAGGAGTCCTTCGTGCCAAACACGGTCGAATGCTTTCGATATGTCCAACGCGACAGCTAGAGATTCCCCGTGTTTTTCTATCGAAGATTGCCATAAATGGGTGACGTAGGCAAGTAGATCTCCAGTAGATCTTCGGTGGCGAAAGCCGTATTGTCTATCATTGATGATTCCTGAGCTCTCCAGATATTTGATAAGCTCTATATTGATGGCTTTCTCCATCACTTTGGAGATTACTGATAACAGGGCAACAGGGCAATGGGCCTGTAGTTGTTGGGCAGGTTCTTGTTCCCTTTTTTGGGGATTGGTTGGACTCTAGCTGTCTTCCAGCATGATGGAAAAATACCCGACCTGTACGAGATGGTAAACAACTTGCAGAGAATCGGTGTTAATTCTGGTGCACATTTTTTGAGGATAATGGGTGGAATTCCATCAGGACCGTTAGCCTTATTCGTTTTGAGATCAAGCAAAATTCGTCTGATGGTGCGTTGACGGAAGACGATTTCGGGCATTCGACTCTCAACGGGTGGAATGGCTGGCGGCAGTTTTCCTTGGGAATCTAAAGTAGAGTTTGCTGCGAACATCTCTGCAAAAATATTAGCTTTCTCCTGCGATGTTGTTGCTAATGTGCCGTCGGATTTGGACAGTGGTGGAAATGAACTATTAGTGAAATTTCTTCCGACCGCTTTAGCAAGGGACCAAAACGAACGGGAGCCATTGGGGCAATCTATGAGTTTCGATCTTATCTTGGCATTGTATGTTTCTTTCGAAGCATCTATTGTTTGGCTGCAGTTATTCCTGGCATCAACGTATTCTGCTCTAGTCGCGAGGTTAGGGTTTTTGCGCCAGCGATGGTAGGCTGTTTGTTTCAAGGCAACAGTTCTAGAACAGTTTTTGTTGAACCAGGGTTTCGAAGGTGATGATCTTTTCGAAAAATGAGGTATGTATGTGTCCATTCCGAGCATGATGATCTCGGATATTTCCGCAGCACACTGTGAAGGGTCCTCAGAGTCAAAGCATACTCTATGCCAAGGAAACTCGGAGAAAAACATGCGGAGACCGTCCCAATCTCCTGAATTGTAATGCCATATAAGACGTGGGGGTGCCGGAGCAGTTGATGGAATGAAAAATGGGCAGGTTGTGGAGATGAGTGTGTGGTC